GTATTGAGTGTGGCATTTTCTCCCACCAATCAGAACCAACTGCTTGGGCTGTGTGCATTTTTTTTCAGACGACTTACAATGGCCCGACGGTGCAACTACGGTGATTGACACCTGTGGCTGACAGGGTTCCTCGGTCAAGAGCTCACATGCTATTGCACGGTAATTAACTTGATAGCATACTGCGTGTTGGAGATGGATGAGAAAAGAGAGAGAGAGAGAGAGTGCAGTCGATGCTGCGGGAAGTCGACGATCACTTAAATCCTAACTCATGCTCAAGTCACTGCATCAGCCTGCTTAGAGCATAAGTTGGACCAAATCGAAACTGATGACCGAACTGTCGCGTGCAAAACCGGGAGATATTGGTAGCTCACAAACCAATCTGGGCGCTCGACCGACATAAAGCCTTATCAAGTGACTTTCAATGGCTACACCACCCGTAAGTGCGTATTCCCATCATTTATGCATGGTAGATATTGAGCTACTAGTAGACACACGTTCCTTTAACCCTTCAGCTTACTAAACTCCCCATATAGGTTACGACTGTATACAAGGTTACATTTTCTACATGCACGCATAGGCCGCACTGCAGCTTGCCCCTTACTGGCTTTAGCAAGTAGGATTACTATAACTAGCACTTTGAGCATATGCACAGCGCTTCTAACAGAAGTATCCTGAAAAATGGCACATGTCACTTTGTTCCGACCTAAATACATGATAGATCCTCAGCTCCTATTACATATACCTCTCTTTAACCTTAAGCCTACTAATATCCCCTTATAGGTTAAGACTGCATACTAGGTAAAATTTCATACATGTGCGCACAAGTTTTAGCAAGTGTGATTACTAGAACTAGCAGTTCTAGCATAGGCACACCACTTCTAACAGTCGTATCCTAGCCCTAGCAGTGTAAACTTAGGAGAAAACCAGGACGAACACTGATGTGCTCGGAGCTCCAAACATCTACTCTACTGGGAATAGTAAAAATCCAAGTCTACATTCCTATGTCAGATCAAGAGAGCACGCTCCCAGACCTGACACCAATCAGTGTCACTTCTGATAAAAATATTATCAGTACTACTATTACTCAGATACACCGCTAGAAGCAGCAATATAAACAGTAGTTGCAGTAGTAAAAATAGGAAGCCCGGGCGCTTCGAATATTTCTGGGTACCTACTATGGGTGAGTGAGGGTAAATAGTGATATAGTAAAACAGGGGTAACAACAAATAAGAATGCGAGAGGAGGACGGGCTGGTGACGAGTAAAGGCTTTGTCTTTCCACAGGTGAATGCATAACTCACCGGAAATCGTCCAAAATGACGCGATGGCCGTGTTCTGAATAAGAGGCCAGAACGACAGACGGACTGGAGTAGGCGTTTGAGGTCACCCAGGTACAGTGTAGGACGAAGAGGAAGAGTACGAAGACGGCCACCATGACAACAATCTTTCTAACACTGACTCCCAGGAGATCATCACTGAGGCTAGCGCTGGATGATTGAGTCTGGTCGGAAGCATTGCCGTCGGCGGCGGCGGTGGAGGACTTGGAATTCTAAGAATAAACAGCAGGTCAGGAAATTAAACAACAATATCGGTACTATCATCATCATCATCATCATCATCATCATCATCATCATCATCATCATC